TTCCTTGTTTGAAGTGACCAAATACTTATTTTCCACCCTGATTTTTTTTTTCACATTCTGTCTCTCACAGTTGAAGTGTACCTATGATGAAAATTACTGACCTTTGTCATCATTTTAAGTGGGAGAACTTGCACAATCGGTGGCTGACTAAATACTTTTTTGCCCCACTGTATGTATATATATATATATATATATATATATATATATATATATATATATATATATATATATATATATATACATACACACACGTTTTTAGCAGCACATCGACTGTTAAAGACAACTGAACACTCACTGTGTGCAATATAAATTAAGTCGGTCAATAAATCTCTTAGTATTTATTAAACTTTACGTATAAAACAAACTCAAAACATAAAAAAAACGGTGTGAGATCCTTCGTGTCCTTTCTTCAGTCTCATAGGGGTGGCAATTGGCCACACAGGTGCCTGATTTATTTTTTTATCAGCTTTTAAAAATAATTGATGGCTGATATAGAAAAAATGAATATATCGGTCGGTTTCTACCAATTTGATTTGAAAACGTATGTAATTGATTGTTTATTTGTCCCACTCTTAAAGCTACTTTTGCAAAGGCAGAGAATCCTATTAAAAGGGAAATAAACCGTCCTCCTTTTACAGTCATCCTGAAGGCAAATGCAGCTAATAAAGTGTGTCTGTATCCATGACAAGCTACGTTATCACCGGAGCGTGAAATCTCTCCGTTTCTGCAGAGCTGCCCCGAGGACCGCCCAGCTCCGGAACTGGAGCATTAAATGTAATTCCCATCAGGTTGGAGGAAAATGCCCAACAAGATAGAGAAATAAGTTGAGCAAAATGACTGAAATAGCTAATTTAGTTTTCTTTATTCCACAAATGACAAAGCAGAATAGAGATCATCTCAATTTAACCCACCTGTTGCACTTTTCTGCACATTTTTTGGAGAATATTACTGCACTACAATATTATTTACAGCTGTTAACAGCTGCTGTAAAAGCATTATGTTTCTGTGACTGTCAGTCTGATTCCTCCAAATCACTTAAAAATCTCCGTAATACAATTGCACTTAGTTCTTCCAACCATAAGTCACTTCCTGTCATTACTTGGGATTAGATTTACAGAAGTTAACGTGTTGTAAAAGGTAACCTTGAGAGGAAATGTGATGTTGACCTCATTTTCCCACAGCCTTGTGGTGTTTGGTAAAGAATTCTTCCCACTCCATTTCTGATTCTGGCCCAGAGAGACGGGAATGGGGGGGTAAAAGGGGGCTGGAGAACGTTGAGTTCAGTTCAGTAATATTGGTGCATGTGGAGCAGTTTTAGAGAGTTTCTTCCTTTCGTAGTTTTTTCTCTAGTCACTGGGCATGAGGGAGAACTGCATACAAGGTCCTTTTGTTGAGCTTTGATTAGTTACAATGTCGGATTCAGAGATTTATTCTCCTTTTTTCATTAAACAAATGCTGCAGCTGCCATCGAGGGCCCCCCCTATTGTCTTCCACTCTGGAGAAAATTCAGCCACATTGATGGATGGACTGTTTTTATTACAACCTAATGTAAGACTCGAGGCTCACCGATGCAAGTGGAAAACAACTCATGTCAAACCGGTAATCGATCTTTTCAGATGTTAGATTTTGCCGGTTTTGATAAACAGCTTTAAGGCTTCTGTGGATCTCTCTGTCCGTCAATAGCACAGACTCGTAGACTACATAGCATAATTTTGTTACAGGCATTAAAATCAAAGCAGGTGCATTTCTGTAAAGGATCATAGTGTTGGGGGTATTTTGTCAGAAATTCATCAGATTAAAAACCAAAGTATCTCAGAGGTTTTAAAGATAACGCTCACAACATTTTGATTGGATAATGCGTCTTCTTGACCCCGCCTCCTGCTTCTGAATAATTTATGTTACAGCTCAAAAGTGGATCTTTCTTCTTGCTCAAAGCCTTGAAAAAGAGTGGAGAGCTGTTGCTTTCATCCTAACAAGTGGTAATCCCTTTGTGATTTAAGACTAGTTCCTGTTTCATCTTATTTACCTTATTGTAAATAATCTGATGGGAAATGGTTAATTCATGTATGGTGAACCTCAGCAACTTTGAAACTGATTTGGTTTTTGAATTTAGATCCTATTACAATGAAGCACTTTTGGGACATATGTTGGAAATATGCCCGTATAGGCCTCACTATCTACAAGAATCTGTTAATACTGACAGCATGGTGCTTTTATTGACTTCTATTAGAGTTTCTACCAAATATAGACCAGTTATCCAGCTACAAACGGTCTGTATAATCATGATATTAAACACTATACTTTTAGCGTGGCTGCTATATGTTTCCTTTTGGCACACAGATGGGTTTCTCTCACATTAGCTTCAGAACTTTTCTTTGTTCTTGAGGCAAGTCACAGCGTTGAACTTCTGCTCAACTCTGGCACCTTTAATGACGTTGGATCCAGTCTTACCTCCTAAATCAAAATATCTACTAGGTTTTTCCCCTTAGGATGTATTACAAAATCCATTTGGCAGATAAAACATATACCTGAACTAAGCTCCAAGGATTTTTTTTATTATTTTATTGTATCTGTTTGTTTGCCCGGTGTCTTGCACATCGTCAACATGGAGTGGTTTGTGGTTACCCTTGTTTTAGATTACAACGTCGATACGGACGTTTGTTGGAAGAATTATTCCCTAATTTGACAGTGAAACTGCACTGAGATGCTATTAAAACCAAGGCTGATGCTGAGCAAGGTCTTCTGAGGACTTGTTGTGTTTGAAGAGGTCGCCATGACCTGGGGCATTTCAATCCCGGAAAAGCCTCCTTCCAGAATTAGCTCAGGTGAGGAGTCTTCCTCTAGTAAAATTGGAAGCGTTTGGTAAGAAAGCTAAAAGGTGTAAGTTTCATCAGAAAAACTTCCTGTTTTTATTATTACCGTTAACTCAAGTGATATTTCTTTTTTTCACGCACAACAACTGTGGAGCCGGAGCGTACCAAGCAGGTGGTTTTACATCACAAAACTCAGATAGCTTTCCTTTCTTTAAAGTAGCGTTACATTTGATGGATACAAAACTAGACAAAACTAAATATTCTTAGTACAGGAATAGTTAGGAACATTTCGATGTGATTCTATCAAAAGTGTAGAAATAGCTAGTATGTTGCAGATGGAAACAACAACCAGGAAGATGAGTTGCTGACTAGTCTGGATGGGGCAATTACTTAATCTTTCTTAGTAATTGTATTTTTGACTCAAATTTCTAGGTACTTCTGCCAGAATAGCAATAAAAAGTAAAGAACGATAGATTTAAGGTTCAATTCACTGAGAAACTGTAATAATTTGTTATATTTGAATTATGATCACTCATTGTTTCACATAAATGCTGTCGCCTGCATTAGCTGGAAAAAGGGATTAGACAGGAAGTTGATTGGGAGAGAAAATTAATATTCATGGTCCTGCCCACTTTATCTAAGGACCGCCCACAGAAAGGAGATAGCAGAGCGGGCCTCAGCTAGTAGAAGCTAACCTTTAGCAACTCCGCATCATGGCGGAACATATTTGTGAATACAACACATCATGGTTGCTTTTTTTTCACAAGAAGAAAGAACGAAGGCAGCGGAAGAGTCTTGTTGCTATTAGCCAATCAGATTGTTTGCATATCATGAATATTAATGATAGACTTGTAGTCCTGTCCCCCGTCCTTCGACAAACATCATCCTCCTGAAATATTCAATTCAATTCAAAGCTTTATTTATAAAGCGCCATCAGGGAGCCCAAGGCGTTGTACACAGTACGTAAGAAATGTAAATCACAATAAATAAATAGATAATAAAAGCTATTAAAACAGCGCAGCAGAAACAAATGGACAAATCAAGGGATAAATAGCAGCGCCAGAGCTTTTGTTCCCCCACAGAAAATGACTCCTACAACAGAACATACTAGAGGCCACAGCTAATGTACTGAAAAAAAGAAATGAGACCTTGTTTGTTGAATAGGAAGTCATCTCTGCTCAGATGGCTTATGTGGTTTATCGTTTGGTGGGTTTGCATTCTGCACCTCAGCACCAACTTAAGCTAGTGGCTGTTTCAAGCTGCCACAGGTTCATTTCTGTTCCATTTAATTGTCTTGTCTCTGTGTTTTAATTGTACTTTTGTGAGAACACCAAAAACTCTGCTTCCAGCAGCAACGGCAATGACTTCTGTTAGAGTTGACTTTTGAAAAGTTTGTCTTATCTTTGTTTTACATGCACGTGAACAGCTTAAAGCTATTCCGAATGTTAAAACTACACTGAAAATCAAGACAAAGAGAAAACTATTATCAATGAGATTTGATGAAAAATGAATTTATAATCATTTATTAGAGACGCACAATATATCTGCATCAGCATTGGCCGATGTTAGTCGTTTTTTAACATATCAGTATTTATCCGATAAATAAAACTGGACCGACATTAACAACCGATATTTTTTCCATTGTTTTCATTTGTGTATCTGTTTTTTTTTGGGGGGGGGGGGGGATTTGTTTAGTCATGTGACAGTGATTGTAATCATCTCAGAAGTACAAATGTGTGTTGTGTGTGTACATAATAACATAAATTCAGCTTTTAATCATTTTAATTCTATACAAACTCGATAGATTTTAGAAGCATTAATGTCAGTGTATTGGTATCGGCAAATATCTGTTATCGGCCATAACAGTGATAGTAATATCGGTATCGGCCCAAAAATTTCCCATCGCAGCATCACTATCTTTTATATTTGTATATGCAGGTGGTTATTACGTTAAGTGCGTGGGTATGAAATTGTGAACGTTTCACACTCTATTAGAACAGAGCGACATTATAGGTATGGAAATAATTGTTTACTATAATGACTATTGAACCGCTGGCTGCTTTTACCAATGTGTGATTGTCTCTCATTGATGCGACTTAAACACTGAAAACTTTTGCTAACCTTACCTAGACACCAGCTTTGCATTTGTTCCTTGTCCTCTTAACTTTTCTGCCCTTCTTCTCGCAGGGTTCAAAGCGTCTTCTCAGATCAAACGAATACGTCCTCCCTCCCAGCGGGCTGATGGAGACAGACCTGGAGCTCACATTCTCACTACAGGCAAGTACTTTGTGTTCTAGCAGTGTTTTTGTGATGGAAAAAAAAACACATTCAGTTGGCCCACCTTGGTAAATTAGTCAAAGGAAAACAAATAAATACACCTGAAAAAAGTTCTTACCTTTAGTTTCCCTCCTCGCGTTATTAGGGTAGCACCTTATAATGTTTTGGTGTCCTTTCCTGTCAGGTTTACAAATTTTACTGCACAGTATACAGATTTGTTGAAATTAATAATACTGAGAGACAAGTTTCAAAGTTTCAAACAGCATTTTGGTATTTTCCATTAATTATTGTTATTAAAACAATTATAGATTTATGGATTCAAATTCGACTTTTTCTTCATGCTTTGTAGTTTCAAGTAGGTGGAGTTAACATTTCCTTTACAAACGTTGAAAATGTTTGCACCAGAACCAGGGTTAGGCCAATACTTACAGTTTATTTATATTATTTGTCCTTAGTAAAGCTGATTTAAAGTCAGGCACATTCTCGGGCAGCTCGGTGCTGTTGCAGAATTTTTTTAAATGTATTTTTACATTAACTAATAACATCTGCATAATAAATACTCTAAATTTACTTTATTTAGGTGTCTGACTTTAACACCGAGCCATGCACAAAGTTAAGATTTAGCAGTTAGTTAAATTCAGAGTTCAAAAACTGATTCAGCCTCAGAAATGTTGTGCGTCAACTGATGTTATCATTTTAGCATGAAAATGAGGTGGAAAATGTCTGAAAATCGGCCCATAAAAACCAGCGTAGGTACCGGATCTGCTCGGACTGCGGGACGGCCAGATCGGCTCAGGGTCCTTCGCCTGCAGATGACGTCACACTACGACAGATCCACTCAGCATCTCTTTTGTTGACATTGTTTCACACATAGATTTTGGGAAAGAGTTTAGCAGTTTTTAAAATACCGCCTACATTTTTTCTTTATAACTGTAATTTTGTATTAAAACACCATATTGTCTTCGTTTTGTAAAGAATGTGAAACGACATGAAACCAAATCAGACTGTGCCATAAAGCACAACAGTTCTTCTATGTGAAAAGTTTTAAATGTATTTGCGGCCCTTTTTGTTTGTGCAGTTGTGGAATTCTTCTGTATATTTTGTTAGTTCTTATGTAATTGAATCTATTAATTTGTTCAAAATGTTGCTTTATCTTGGTTCAGTAAAGTTCTTTTAGCCCCATTTCATCAAATTCAAGAGCTACTGAGGGTCTCCGTTTAGAAATTGATGTTTTTGCTTTTACTTTACGTTTCCGTTGGAAATACAAACGTATTTAATTTTTTTAACTACAGGACTACAACCACAAATTTGTCCCGACTAATCAAAATCTTCAGTGTCAACGTGGTATTGTAACTTCTGTAAGTCCTATGTTCAGCCAGTCATCTAGTGTGAAGTCATCTGCAGATGCAGGACCCCGAGCAGATCCGGTACCTACACCGGCAGTACTTAACGGCATCGGTATTGGTGTTAGAACAACCAGTAACGGTCGACCTCTAATCAGATGAAATAGACAAATTGGAAAACTAAATTGTGACTAAAATTACAAAGAATTTTTGTCAAAAGACTAAAACTAAATTAAAATGTCTTGTCAAAATTAACACTGCTTGCCTATGGAGTAATCCAGAGTCATCGGGGTAAAGGTTGGTTTGTGCGAGGTCCGCACAGCTCCGCGTGGAAAAGTTGCGTCATTTTAACAACCACGCCCCTCCACCGTGCCTCCGCACTGCCCAAACTTTCCGCACCGTGCACCTAAGAAATTTTCTAACCACGCAGACGGTCGGACGCAGAAAAACATGGCGGCCTGGCAAGAACTAGTATGGCAGAGGTTCGTAAATACAGACATTTGTATGATTCAGCTCTCAAAGATCACCGTGATCAACATGTTGTTAATAATTCTTGGAGAGAAATAGCTCGCACTGTCGGAAAAGACGAGGACACTGTGGAAAAATGCTGGAATGCCATTTTGTAAACAACAGTAATTTTTACTTCTACTATGGTGTAGTGTTGGATGCATGCCGTAGAGCTCCATGCTGCCCCGTTCAGTTTGGGAGAATATTGGCTCACCGCAGAGACAACCATAAACGCTGCAAGTTGTGAAGCACGTTCCATCCGCGAGCCGCATCACCAAGTGGAAAGTGAATGCGTCAAGCATAAACCAAGCTTAAACCAGCCAATCAGCATGCAGTTCATTCATTATTCATGTCCTGGCTAGAGTGGGCGGGAAAACCAGTCTCTCCTTTGTAAGGCTTTATTATTGGGTTGGTTGGCCATTTATCAAGGCTCCTGGACCATTTTGAGCCCCAGCATAGTTTTATGTGATATACACTCAACAAAAATATAAACGCAACACCTTTGTTTCTGCTCCGATTTTTCATGAGATGGACGTAAAGATCTAAAATTCATTCCAGATACACAATATTACCATTTCTCTCAAACATTGTTCACAAATCAGTCTAAATGTGTGATAGTGAGAACTTCTGCTTTGCTGAGATAATCCATCCCACCTCACAGGTGTGCCACATCAAGATGCTGATCCGACATCATAAGTAGTGCACTGGTGTACCTTATACTGCCCACAATAAAAGGCCACCCTGGAATGTGCTGTTTTGTCTCACAGCAAAATGCCTCAGATGCCACAAGCATTGAGGGAGCGTGCAATTGGCATGCTGACAGCAGGAATGTCAACCAGATCTGTTGCTCGTGCATTGAATGTTCATTTCTCCACCATAAGCCGTCTCCAAAGGCGTTTCATAGAATATGGCAGTACATCCAACCGGCCTCACAACCGCAAACGACGTGTAACCACACCAGCCCAGGACTTCCACATCCAGCAGGTTCACCTCCAAGATCGTCTGAGACCAGCCACTCAGACAGCTGCTGAAACAATTGGTTTGCATAACCAAACAATTTCTGCACAAACTGTCAGAAACCGTCTCAGGGAAGCTCAACTGCATGCTCGTCGTCCTCATCGGGGTCTTGACCTGACTCCAGCTTGTCGCCGTAACAGACTTGAGTGGGCAAATGCTCACATTCGATGGCGTCTGACACGTTGGAGAGGTGTTCTCGTCACGGATGAATTTCGGTTTACATTGTTCAGGGCAGATGGCAGACAGCGTGTGTGGCGTCGTGTGGGTGAGCGCTTTGCTGATGTCAACGTTGTGGATCGAGTGGCCCATGGTGGTGGTGGGGTTATGGTATGGGCAGGTATCTTTTATGGACGAAGAACACAGGTGCATTTTATTGATGGCATTTTGAATGCACAGAGATACCGTGATGAGATCCTGAGGCCCATTGTTGTGCCGTACATCCATGAACATCACCTCATGTTTCAGCAAGATAATGCACGGCCCATGTTGCAAGGATCTGTACACAATTCTTGGAAGCTGTAAATGTCCCAGTTCTTGCATGGCCAGCATACTCACCGGACATGTCACCCGTTGAGCATGTTTGGGATGTGCTTGACCGGCGTATGTGACAGCGTGTACTAGTTCCCGCTAATATCCAACAACTTCGCACAGCCATTGAAGAGGAGTGGACCAACATTCCACAGGCCACAATTGACAATCTGATAAACTCTATGCGAAGAAGATGTGTTGCACTGCATGAGGCAAATGGTGGTCACACCAGATACTGACCGGTTCTGAGTCCCCAGACCCCCAATAAAGCAAAAAAACTGCACATTCCAGGGTGGCCTTTTATTGTGGGCAGTATAAGGCACACCTGTGCACTACTTATGATGTCGGATCAGCATCCTGATGTGGCACACCTGTGAGGTGGGATGGATTATCTCAGCAAAGCAGAAGTTCTCACTATCACACATTTAGACTGATTTGTGAACAATGTTTGAGAGAAATGGTAATATTGTGTATCTGGAATGAATTTTAGATCTTTTAAGTCCATCTCATGAAAAATCGGAGCAGAAACAAAGGTGTTGCGTTTATATTTTGTTGAGTGTATAATGGCTCAAAGAACAATGTCCACTTGTAAAAAATAAAAACTAAACAGGCACAGCAAATAAAAATGTCCACTTTTTGAAATCCATGAGATAATACGCCATAACACTTTAACAAAGTTTGACTCCTTAGAAGCAGAGTAAAAAGAGGAGTAGCTCCAGAATTCTTCTTATTGGCAACCGTTTTGGGAAAAACAGTCCATTTTAAAGTAAAACCTTAACTTACAAGGTAACTTCAAGAAGTAGTTGTAGACCCGGAGGGTGAAACAAGTCGACGATTTTGCTGTCAGAAACCGTCTAGTCAAGACGCGCTCTAGCTTCTGGCTACAGGTGGGTATGGAGAAAAGGGGCTGTGGATGAAAGATGGACTCATTTCCAGCTCTGGGTCTGACATCTGAGAATATAACTACCGTAATTTCCGGACTATAGAGCGCACCCCATTGTAAGCCGCACCGGGCTAAAAGCCGCAGATATCTACTGGATTGAAAACGTAGTCTAACTGAACGTAACTGAGCTGATCAGTATCAAACAAAACAGAAAAGCTATTGATTAGTTTATTCATCGTCCTCCTGCGCTCCGAAACCACTGAAGTCCTCTTCTTCAGTGTCGGAGTTGAACAGCCTCAGAAGAGCTTCGTCACACACCTTTTCTGTGGCGATGTCCGTGTCGCTTTCCTTGTTGCTGTCATCATCCCGGGGTGAAGCTGGGAAAACAAGCAGCGCCGTTTAACTGTGAAAGAAATCCTCCTGGGTGCTTTCCGTAGCGCTCCTTTAACCATTCCTTCATTAGACTTTCCAGCATCCATCCTTTCTGGTTGACTAAAGCCGCACCTCATTGTAAGCCGCATGGTTCAAAGCGTGGGAAAAAGTAGCGGCTTATAGTCCGGAAAATACGGTAAATGTAAACGACAGAAAGGGCATTTTGGCAAAGAGGTTTCTGTACAATTCATGCACTGAATGCTTTAATGCTTTAGACAAGTTTGGACATATTAAATGTACTGAAATCTGACTATATTTCTTTTTTATATCACCAGTACCCTCATTTTCTTAAGAGGGATGCCAACCGGCTACAGATTATGCTGCAGAGACGGAAACGTTACAAAAACCGGACCATCCTGGGCTACAAAACTTTAGCCGTAGGAGTGATCAACATGGCTGAGGTACGGTGCAGCGGCTCACTGCTTTCCTTTCAACTTGTCTTTGTCTGCTGTTTCTCTATCGGACCATGTCATTTTGCTCTGAGGTTGCTGCTTCTGACAGCAAACAGCCACCTTGTTTCTGCGCGCCAGAGAGAGAAAAAGCTCCTGTGATTCATTCTCCTCACACGCTGCGGTGTGAAATTATGGACCATCTGTTGGTTCCTTCATATAGGGTTTTCTAGAAGCGGTGCCTTCATGCATGCAGACATGTTGAAATAATACTGCTAGTTTGAATAAAATCTACATGTATTGACTTTACTTTTGATCCCGTACCCTGAAACGACGTGTTTCTCTAACAGTCGGCGTCGCTGCCACCCTGCAGAACTAAAGCGCCGTAACGATTTGACGATTGACTGGTGGAAATTTGGCCTCACACAGCTGATGTAGATCGATGAAAACCGCTCTCTGAACCAAAATAGCAAACTCTTTATATCTGCAGAGGAGATGCATGAAGGCAGACAGTGAAACGTTGATTGCATGTGCCATCTTGATTTGGAACAATACAGGTGCTGTCACTCCTTTTTTTTTCTAATTACTGCAGCAGATGTGCTGTCCCTCTCCCAGTCAAAGTTATTTTCCACCAGCCTCGGGGACGGGAATTGATTGGCATCTGAAAACAAGACTAATGCGCCGTTGTGTTATGAAATACCACTCAGCCGTGTTTCTGTGTCTGCTGCTGAGAAACGACCCACGTTAGCTAATTTGGCCATTATTGCATCCTGGTGGGTAATCTGCAGTAGAATAAACCCTCCTGTGTCCCTGTTCTGGAGCTATGCGAGCGCCGCGTAAGAGGAAGTCACTTATTGGAGCCGTCAAGTGCACCCCTGCCAGCGGCTGAGCAAAATGAGCCCACTCCCTCTACAGCGACTCATCAAACTCCAGAGAAAAATGACAAAGAAAGCTCATTCTTTGTCATTTAATTCCAAACGGCTTATTTAAACCACGTCTCACAGTTGGACGGGCTAATACGAGCCGATTGGCTTCGGCTCGTTAAGGCGTTCAGATTGGAAAAGCAGTATTTTTCTAATGAAGGTTTATTTACAGATGTGTGTCTAGTCAGCTTGTAATCCGCCGTTAGACTCTTTTAATGTCAGAACTGTGAACAGATGGATTTTCTCTTCTAGGGATGAAAAAAGCATTTTGTGATTTAAGTGCCCAGCCTCCATGTTGAACTGTGCCCAGGTGATGCAGCACCCGACTGACGGGGGCCAGATTCTAGGTCTCCATAGCAACGTGAAGGACGCACCAGTGCGTGTCGCAGAGATCAGCGTTTTCTCTCTGTCCAGCCAGCCCATCGACCACGAGGACGGCAGTGGACAGGCTGGCCGCAAGACCAAAACCTCAGGTGGGCGCTGCTCGGCTTGACCCAGCTGAGTTCTTGGTGTTGTTTCAGCCTTCATCCCAGAGTCGGCGCTCCCCGCTGTGGCCTCTCTGCCCACTCCTCCCTCCTGGCTCATGTTTCCTAACTGAGGACAGAACAAGCCGTTAATCCAGGGACATCTTATTGCCAAGGATATGTTATTCTCTTCAGCTGTGGCTGTAACGTTGATGTGAGAGTTGAACAGATGTTGGGGCTATTGGCTTACAACGCTCTAATTCTGGACTTGGGATTTGGGTGGGGTTAGGAGGCGGGACGTCAGGTCCAGCTTGTGCCGTGGCGATCCGCCGCTCTTCTGGATGTTATTAAGGAGGCCACTCAAACACAACAGATGAGCTCATGCACCAAGCATTAAACGAGTGTCACTGTGAATGAGGAAGGGAAGAAAAGATGTTTATCTTTCTTCTGTCTTTAATGGCATCCATCCCACCTAGTAACACAGAACAGGATCCCTCTCAGGCCTCAAGATCCCTCTCAGTATTTACCGATGACAGTTAATGATAGCCTAGCGATCTAGACCAAGTTCTTGCTTTGCAAAGTGTGGTTTAGGAACGCTCCATTGCAACCTCCGCAGCCCCTTGCAGCTTTCTTAAAAAGTCTTAAATTAGCTTTTCCAAATTTAAGGCCTTAAAAATCCTTAAAAATGACAAATAATCCTTAAATCCAGTTTCCAAAGGTCTTAAATTACCAAAGACCCAATAAACAAGATTTTTTTTATTTCTGTAAAAATTTCGTGAATTTCTAGTTGGTGTTCAGCATTTTTTGTGTACGATGTTGGCGTAAGCGGAACCGTACACATTCAGTTGGTTGTGAAAGGGGGCTACTTTTAGATGAGCACATTAGCTGTTTAAGCTAGTTGGAGCTTGCACCATGGGGAAGTGCAAGTTTAATGGTAACTGGATGGCTAATCCCACGTTCACGACGTGGTTAGCGCCGGTTCCAGGCAATAGCTGGAAATTATAGCTTAAATTTATTTTTAAAAATAGCTTAAATTTGGTCAAAGTGGCCTTAAAAAAGGTCTTAAAAAGTCTTAAATTTGGCTCCCTTAAACCTGCAGATACCCTGTTAATCATATCTCTAGCAGTTTTTCTCCTACTTGTAATTTAAATAAGATTTTCTGAATAAAATTCAGAGCTGAATGTAATTAAGCTCCAGTCCAAACACAGTCTGTCAATATTTCAGGGATCTGCTTCTCCGTTAGACCTTCGTCGGGTCCAGTCTGGTTCATTATGATGCCGTTTGAAAAATGCCAGACCTCTCTCAGTATTTTGACATGTCCACATGTTTTTCCTGCTCTACCTCAGACCGCTCCCCTGACATGGATAATGATTCAGAGGACGATGACGACAGCTACTCCTCGGAGCAGGAGGCCAGCGATGACGCTGTTCATGCCCAGGTTGGTGCCAGTATATACCTGGGTCCTGACAAAACTCCAGTTTCCTGTGCTGTCTGAGACAAAAATCCTAAAACACAAAATTCTGGATGACCATGGGAGACATTTGGGGGTTGTGCTCGTTTATTTTACGCTATTTAAAGTGGAATAGGAGATGTTTTCTAGCAAGCAAGCTACTTTCTATGAATGTACACAATCCTTTTTTTCCTTTTTTTTTCTTCCTTTTTTTCCTTCTTTTGAATGTTCACAATCCAAAGGTCCAACGCTCTTTCTTCAGGCTTTTCCCCTTAAGCCACACCTCCAGAATACAGGAACACACAATGCTTTTTACAGAGGGTTTAGTTTTACATTTTCAACACGTTGTCTCCTTTTCTGCCACAAGCTAATATAGTGTGGAGTGTTCACGGTGAAATGTTAGGTAGTTTTTAGCTTTCTTGGTTTGTTCATAGCTTCGAAATAAAAGCAGTGCCACCACCAATCTGGGAAAACCCCACAAACATCAGGTCAAAACTTCCAGAACCAGTCCCGGACCTCCTCTCAACCGCTCTCGTCTCTGCCCTTCCGGCGCCACCAACATACACATACACGTTGCCAAGCCAACGGCCTGATGGAAGGCTCTGCCAGCTGACAGAGGACAGGCTGTGTTGGCAGACAACAGGTCCATCACCTAAATGTTTCCCAGCAAGAACAGAACCAGATTCTATATAAAAAAAAGGTGAAACAACTCCTTAAATAAAATTTGCAAACGACAAACTGAACCAAATATTCTGTCCAGCACGCTAGGCAGCTTCTCTCCAACATCAATCAATCAATCAAAGATACTTTATTAATCCCAGAGGGAAATTAGAGTTTCAGTACACACAATTCAGAGATCAGACATACATGGGCAAGACACATGACAAGAATTGGTGACTGTGGTCATTCGCAACCCTGAGTCGCGCTACCTTAATAGAGATAAGAGGGTTACATGAGGATTGGTTCAGGTGGAGGGAAAAAAGGCACTTCAGAGCTACCCTCCACAGGGAGGGCAGCTTTGCTCTGCAAAAAAACACCTCAGACAGAGATGCAACAGACTTCAGACAACACAACATAAGTGTCCACTAGGTGGGGTGGTGGGTTGGGACTATCCCCACTTCAGTTCCTGCAGCCACGATAAGCAGTGCCTGTCACCTCAGTGTGGATAGGGGGAGGAACATTGAGGGTTGGAGGGTTGCAGTGACCCTGGAACGTTTCAGCGGCCTTCCCGCAGTCCCGCCCAAGCTGGGATAGGAGACAGAGTTGAGTTGCCATAGCGACGGCACATTCCACACATCTTCTGAGGGGGAAGTTTTCGTTGGAGCCTTGCAGGCTCAAGGGTGCCAGATTCTGATTAGAAATTGTTTTGGGGCCAGACAGAGATAATTTCCTCTTTGTTTTAGAGTTCCTTAGTCCTCAACCTCTCAAAATCCCAATAATGGACATTAAACTATCCCAATCTGTGCTGATTCGTCCACTCTATCCTTGATGGCATCCATCTTTTGTGCCAATGAATGAATCTCGGCCAAAGTCCCAAGCTTACGATTCATCTGAACAATTATGTGAGTCTGTGAATTCACAGCGCGGTGCAAACTATCTCTGAGCTCCGGGATCAGGCCAATATTCCTCGAAAGCTCGTTAATTTTCTGGTAAGCCAGGTAGCCTCCAAGGCCAATGAGCAGGAAACCTGTTCAGCTGTCCTGAGCCAAGAACACATGATTTGAGCACACGGAGAGGTTTTTTTTTTGGGGGGGGGGGGGTTTATGGATGGATGTGGACCCAAACATTAAGAACAGGACGTTCCCGTTGATTGAGGCTTTTCCACGATGGTACATTTCAGAAAAAATTTAAACCTTTAATTTTTGACAAAACGCATCATTTATCGTCGATATGTGAAGAGCATTTCAAGCAATAATGTAAACAATGCCTCAGCAAAAAATCTCCCACTCCACCCTTAATAAATAAAATCCCGTTTGGGATTGTTTAGTTTATGTGGTTAATGTGTTTGTTTGAATTCCAGGACATGTATGATGAAGACGATGAAGTCAGGAAGCCCAAGAAAAACCGGCGAAAAATGATCCGAACCACCTCCATGACCAGGGTTGGTCTCCCTCACACACACTTCGGCCAAACTGAGCTTTATGTTTGCCAATCATTGGCTGAGAATAACTGTAGACCTGTGCGTACTTTAGCGTGGACTTTTAGGAGAAGGAACACGGCGTGTTCATTTGTTTAAACCATTAGGTGGATGAGCATGTAAATGACCACTGGACTGGTTCTAGTGGTCTTCACATGCATTAAGTGACCCAGTGAACTGGGATGATGTAAAGCCCAGCTGTTATTGTGGTCTTGATCTGAATTATTTCTCTCATTATCAGCCTTTTTTGTCTCGTTGCAGCAACCTAACTTCAAGCAGAAGTTTGTGGCTTTGCTGAAAAGGTTCAAAGTCTCCGATGAGGTGAGTTATGAATAGATCATTTGCTTTTTCTTTCAAGTGGGACATTTATTGTCAAAAAGCGTTTGTTTCACGGTGCTCCTCTGGAATTCTTTGACCCCTCTGCTATGAAGTTTCCAGTTAGCTGTGACTCCTGAGGTTATTAAATAGCCGATGGGGCAGCAAAACATGATCTCAGTATCGACTCACTGAACTGCTGCATGGGAGTGAATGCATCGCTGTCAGGAGGAGAATCGGGAATAAAAATCACTGTCACACTAAAGCTGCAGGTAGAACTGGGTCATAGAATAGTCTTACGGTTATATTTGAGCGATTTATCACAATATTTTATGAAATAAAGCTGAATGATAAATGACCCGCACTTGTTTAGCGCCTCTCAGAGGAAGGACTCCAAAGCGCTTTACACTACAGTGCATCATTCATCCATTCACACACTGGTGGCGATGAGCTACGATGTAGCTACAGCTGCCCTGGGGCGCACTGACGGAGGCGAGACAGCCGAGCACAGGCGCCACCGGTCCCTCCAACCACCACTAGCAGGCAAGGGGGGTTAAGTGTCTTGCCCAAGGGCACAACAGCAGAATTCTCTGTCCGGAGCCGGGATCGAACCTGCAACCTTCCGATTCCTGGACAACCCGCTCAACCTGTTGAGCTACTGCTGCCCCTAAATCACCCTCATTCCCTCTAAATAAAAACAGTTTTTTATTTATCACCTGACTGGGAATTTCTTAACATGTTTGATGTTGAATCACGAGGCAAAGTGGGAAGTGATGTTAGGACAAGGGTGCTCAATTCTGGTCCTGGAGGGCCAGTATCCAGCACGTTTTAGAGGTTTCTCTGCTCCAACACGCTAGATTCAGTGGTTGAGTCACCTGTGCAGCAGCTCATGAAGCTCCGCAGAAGGCTGTCAATCCGGTGTGTTGAAGCAGGAAAACATCTGGAACATGCAGGACACTGGCCCTTCAGGACCAGGATTGAGAACCCCTGGGTTGGACCAACCCTGACTTATAAATTGACCTTATTGATGTATTGATGTGTCATAATTGGGTCAAAATTAGGACGTCTACTTACTTTTAAGCTGTTAGAATGAACCTAGTTTTTTAAAAATAAAGTGAAACATTTGCTTTATTGCAGGGCTATTCAATTCTGGGCCTGGGGGGCTGATATTCAGCACGTTTTAGTGGTTTCTCTAGTCCAACACACTAGATTCAGTGGTTGAATCACATGTGCAGCAGCTCATCAGGGCCTGCAGAAGTCTGTTAATCACCTGCTGATTGAAATCAGGTGTGTTGAAGCAGGGTTAAATCTAAAACGTGCTGGATACCGGCCCTTCAGGCCCAGAATTGAATCGCCCTGCTTAATTGTCACAATCTGCAAATATCAGTAGTAAAACACACACACGCACACACACACACACACGCTGTAGGGTCATGAAATGTCCTGTTTTTGACCTAAAGGTCATGATCTGCTGCGTCTGCTCGAGCAGAGACATAAAGTCTCTGACAGCCTAATCTACATGAGATAGTGACCAAGGTCTTTCATGCACTCTGCTCCTCTGAACTGCTTCACCTCTTTACAGCTCAAGACAAGACGGAGAATTCTTTTGATAAACACATAATCAAAAAACTTTGTTATTACCAGTTATAATGTGAGCCCATTGTTCAGTCAATCTGTGAAATAACAATGTTATTACTTGATATTCTAATCCTGTGGTCAGTAATATTTTACAAGTTATTATAATCTTGGACAGCTGCACTCGACACATGATGACACGTAATGCTAAAGTCACACGACACATTTCCTTTTGTCTGATCCAATCAGAACCTTCGTTTCTGGCTAGGCGTGGTTATCTGTGGTGTTTGTATAAACCCTCTTTTGCATTTCAAATTCTGATTCACCAGTAAACCAACATTTGACAATTATAAAAACTATCCCACGCCACCTTTTCGTTAGTTCAAGCGTTCTAGAGAAGTCTCAGACCGGCCATCCGGACTTCCTCTTCAAACAAAAAGAACCTCGACAAGCTGGATAAAATCTGTCGCACGTTACACCTGACCACACGGTTCCTTCAGAATAAAAGCTGAACC